GGGTTATGGTGAAATAGCTTATTACATGGAATCTTAACGTGGTCTGTCTTTTATTCAAACATATCTGCTCTGAATTTTACATTGAGCTCTCTGGATATCATCCTCCTCAGGTCTACCCATACGGATTACCTAAGTTTGCATAAACTATATATATATATATATATATATATATATATATAAAGTGGAAAGTCCTCATATACGAACGTCCTGAGTGTTGGCATGTAAATGTTGTAGGGATGTTGGAAACAATTGTTAGTAACTTGAAATTTATTAACTCATAATGTCTAGCACAGAAGAAACTTCAAGGTCCAGGGAAACAAAAGCAACTCAAGAGGAAACAATGGACGAAGCTTCTAAGTCGTTGAATTTGTAAATTAACAAACAAAGATTGCAGAATCTAAACGAAACATTATGACTTACGCTTGAAGATGATCCACTGAATATTCTCACTTTGGATGACTTAAAAGAATTTATAAATGAAGAAGGCTAATGATTTAGAAAAGAATTCAATCATAGAATCGCTTCAAAAGGTTTTGGATTGTCAAGAAATAGAAGAAGAATCAAATTCTTCCGATAATGGTGAAAATATGAAGAAGACTGGGACTCAGTAGAGAAAGCTATTGATGACGTCATCAAATCTTTGTTCAGTAACGATTTTCTAAGCGTAGCTTAGATGTGGCACAAAGCCGAAAGTAAGGGGCACCCAGTGAGGATCGAAATCACTACTCATTCGTAATTCTGTTAGCGAGATAAGCTTGGTAACCATTACACCACCTCGGGGTGCCCAAATCTTTGTTCAGTTGTACAGAATGTAGAAGTTCACGTAATTTTCAGAAATGCCTTACTTAAAAAAATATCTAAAATAGCGAAAAGTAAGCGAAATAAGAAAAGAAATAGGAAAGACAATTAAAAATAAAACTTATTGAGCATTAAACATTGCAAATTAATATTTACTTTCATGAGAAACTTAATTTTTCATATTTTGCAATAAGTTCTTGTGTTTTAAGTTATATTTATATTACACATGCTACATTATATCCGAAACCCGTTCTCATATCCGAACTGCTCTGAGTTCGGATATAATGATTCTACTATATATATATATATATATATATATATATATATATATATGTGTGTGTGTGTGTGTGTGTGTGTGTGTGTGTGTGTGTGTGTGTTCTCTTTTGCCCTCTTTCTTTTTTCTTTCTTTTCTTTCTCTTCCTTTTCATCATAAAATATTCTAACTATATTTCCGTCTTTCAACACTCAACCACGTGATCTGCCAATTTTTGCTATCACGTCTTTTTCCCCTCACCAACCCATATATATATATATATATATATATATATATATATATATATATGTGTGTGTGTGTGTGTGTGTGTGTGTGTGTATTCTCTTCTTCCCTCTTTTTCTTTTTTCTTTCTTTGTCTTTCTCTTTCTTCCATTTCACCACAACATATTCTAAATACCGTCTTTCAATACGCGATCTTCCAATTTTTACTATACGCGTGACACCTTTCCCCCTGCCAAACCTATAACTTCCTTCATCAATGTCACTCTCCCTATTACATACACTAGTAACAATAGACCTGCCGAACACTTTTACACCGACCAAAATTTATTTTTAAGTTTATTTTCGTAAATAGTTTCGCACATCGATGTATCAGACAGAAATCTTGTTTTTGCTAATAATACGATTTCCACTGGAAAGGACACCATCTACAAAAACGTCTGGCAACGAGTAATTTCCATTTCTCTGTTTGTTCCTTTGATCGTTGATAAAGAACACAGGCGTGTCCGAAAATTCCGAAGGTAAAACCTTTTTCTCTGTCATTTATTTCTGTCATATGGTTAATATTTAATAAATATATTTATCGTACTGATTATATGAATTTGCAAATTAACAAACAAGGATTGTAGAATCTGAATGAAATGCTAAAACTTACACTTGAAGATGATCCACTGAATATTCTCACTTTGGATGACTTAAGAGAATGGATAAATGAAGAAGGCTAATGAATTAGAAAATTTCTTTTGACTTTTTTAAAATTATCCAACCTATCTCTTTCACCCCCATATACATATGTGTAAGTGCGCAGGTATGCAGAAAATAGAAAAGAACACGTTGGGTGCATAATCCAGGGTTCCTTAGTATTTTTGGTTTATTTTTAAGAAGACAGTGCTCCATACAGAAGTAGAGCTTTATTATAATAATATTTTTTGTTTAAAAATATGATTCCTTTGCTACATAAGAGTTCTCATGTTTCAAAAACGAGAGCCGAAACCATCCAAATAATCATTAAAATTAAGTTGAATTGTGGTATTTAGTCCCGTTTCATCTTCAAGCGAAATTTTAGGAATAAGCTATCTTTCGGTTTACGTGTGTTTTTTAAGCGTGGTCCGTTACAAAATTCGTTATTGTGGGAGTGGCTAGATTATTTTCCTTCGTTAATTGGTCAGAGAATTAATTCTTATCAATAGATTCATCATCTTCTGAGAGGTTTTGTTAATGTTGGATAGGGTATCTATTTCAAGGCTAATGTTAGCGGTCACCCTTTAGTTGGTTCCCAGTGAGGAATATTTTTATGGCTCGCCTACATGTCGTTATGTGTCTGGAGAATTGTCTTTTATTATTGTCCATCTGATTATCTATTTATTTATTTGTTTAGTCAAGTGGGTCTTTTATATACAAATCGTACTGCACTGAATTTCAATTTGCTTTTTTTTGTTTTTTGACGACTACAAAAAGGGTTTTTCCTATTTAATGATTTGGCTAAGCTTTTAAGACTTTTATTTAGCTATGGGATTTTTTTTTATGCTAATTACTTAATGCGAAAGTTTGTTGATGCCGACAGAAAACCGTTAACTCCTGCCTATGGTTTAATAATTTTTCATTATTTAGGAATTTAATGATGTGTTTTTCCTGTAGGCATAAAGGGCATGGGTCATCCCAGGTTTTACAAGTTCTTGTTTTATTTACTATTTTCCATTTTACTTTTGGTGTTTTATTCATTTTCTTTTAGATGCCAAAAATATTGGGATAGAGATGTCTGATATATATATATATATATATATATATATATATATATATTCATCAATCTAATTTTAAATGCCGCACCGCTTTGTGCACAGAAATTCATACTTTACTGAACGCCTCTCCCCAATCGTAAACCTCGATCAACGAATATCCTTTTCGGGTGCGGTGGTCTCTTTCCCGGTCGTAGGTCCTAAGTGACGTCACCCTTTATTTAATAGCAGCCAAGAATTACACTGTTAGCGGCAATAGCTGAAAAGTCTCGTTAGCGCTGGAGTCATGTGTTGATCTAATATATCATGAAAGGGAGGTCAGCGTCTATAACTCACCGGCCTGTCAGAGAGTCCAACATCGCTCTAATAGTTCGTTGCTTCGCCTTGACTCTAACACGTTGAGATGTTAGCAGAGATAAGCGAACATTGCAAGCATTTCGCTCATCAATGCCTTCTTCCGTGGCTGACCTATTTGCAGGACTCGGCATTAATCACCGAGGCAACACTGAAATGACATACATTCAGATTCAGAAGGAAAAGGCCGGTGTGTGTGTGTGTGTGTGTGTGTGTGTGTGTGTGCGCGCGCGCGTGTGCTTACAATGGTCGATAAGTGCGTTCTGGTCTCAGTCGATTCATATCTATCCGTTTTTGTAGGTTTGCATATCTTTTTTCTTTAGTGACATACGTGACACACTTTCGACACATGACTGACGAGGCAGATTTTTTTTCCTGCAGTAGGTTGGCATTTCTTTCTGTGCTAGACCAGTTTCCAAGGGTATTAGCAGGTAAGTGAATGTAATAGATTCAACTGGAATTCGAACTCGGCTCTTCGATTCCTCAATCCGAACCGCTATCATTATGAGGAAACATTTGGCATTCATTGAACGAGCAACCAGTGTTACTAAATTTACACCTTGGTCATCCGACTGGCATCGAAGTGTAGTATCTGTTCTCCTCGTCTTCAAGAGTTATGGTAATATTAATCGTTTACTTATTGTTGTAGAGTAGTTTTCACAGTGGAGGCTTGTATTTCACTAAGTCGGTCCTAAAAATGTTCGACGTACAAAACGTTAGGAACTTGAAATAATAGTTAATGACGCAACAATCTAGTTGTGGTGGTTGATACTTTAATGTCCGACATCGACTGACTCACCAACTCACTGAGCCCCCTCTGGCGACTGCTACTACTACTCATTATATGTGGGAGAGTCTATTAACAATAGAATAGGTATGTTCCGGTATAACACTTATAAAGAAATATTCAGCATTTAATGACCGAACAGTCAGTGCTACTTGAGTTACACAACTTAGTCCGTTGTTTTTTTTAGTGGATACCCATGTTTCGGAGTACTTGCGCTTTGCTGGGCTGTGATGATCTCTGTGATCGAGGGGTTGGGAGCATACAGGATCAGACTGGTCTACTTCTTCAGAGGGTGACTCCGGTTCGAAAACTACAAAAAATTATGCAGGGTTATTTACTCAAACAAGTGTATCCATTAAAATAACTTTCTATCGCATCGGACGATAATGGGTATGCCCCCATTCCCATAAATACAGGGCTAAATACTCTACGTGGCCTAGAGTTGGAGATTCGTCTACAGCTGCGTTGGTGAAACTCTCTGCCTCCGGGCAGAGAGGATCCCCAGACGAGGCTATGTCGAAGTGGAGGGTCTCGTCTGGGGAAACAGCTAATCGACCCCGTTTTATACGGAGTATACAGAGAATTTTTGGCCGCATCTATGGGCTCGGATACCATACATTAAATTCGGCCTTGTGTCACATCTAACCGCGTGAAGCGGTTGGTAGATATCCTAGAGTTGGAGATTCTTTGTGGAATTCACTTGACTCACTTCTAGCAGTTGACTACTATTTCTACGCGCCGCCGGCGAATCTTATATGTGTTGTTCTTGTTCTAAGTATTATCGTTCATTACCTACCTTCGCTTGATTATTCTGTTCAGTAACCTTCTCTAGATTACAACCATATCTATCTATCTATCTATCTATCTATCTATCTATCTATCTATCTATCTATCTATCTAATTCTTTTCATTATCTATCTATCTATCTATCTACCTATCTATCTATCTATCTCGGACTGTTCTTATCTAAGTTTTTCCATAACTATATATGAAAGGGTTTTTTGTTTTTCTGACGAGTCACAAGGCGAGAGCTCT